ATTATAATATCATTGTTATCAAAATCCTCATCATGATAGATCGCGCCATCATCATATTATATTTTCATCACCACCATCAAGCTTCACCACCACCATCATATTCATCATAACCAGCAGTACTCACCACCCCCACCATCACCACAACATTCCATCTTCATTAGCCACTCAAGCCGTCTTCATTACCAACAGCACTCACCACCACCACCACCACCAACCCCACCATCATCATCGTAACATTCCATCATCCACTCAGGCCTTCTTCATCATCATCATCATCACCACCACCACCATTATCACATTCATCATCATAACATCATATAACGCTATAAATTATATCTCAACGACGCCTCAAGACTAAAAATAAGAACTTAGATGATGCGAGCGCGAACCTTGAGATTTATCAATTAGTACCCAACAATTTTCTGAGAACATTATTGTCCAACTGAATTAGGATGTCAACGACTTCATAGTTTGCGCATCATTAGCTGTCCATGCAACAGTCTTCTTAATACTTTTACATTCCTCTCTCCATTCACCTCCTACACGAAGCTGGAGTTTCGAGGTTGATGCTGTTGACTTTCTTTCGTCAATGTGGACCTTGCTCCCTCCGTATCGTTTGCTGGATTCTATTTGACCTTTGTCGATACTTTGGTTCCAGCAAGCGCTTAATTTCTGTGCTCTTGGTTTATCTTTTATTTGTACACTCGACAATGCACTCTCACGGCTTCGCTTCTTGGGGTCATTGTTATCGAAGGAGGAGCTTTCGTCTTCTGTTGGAAGTTCTACTCCATTCCACGCCGTGCGTTGCCTCGTTACATTTGCAGTATTTGGTTTGATGACTGCGTTTTTCGACCTCAAAAATGCTGAATTTGATGCAATTGCTTCATCACCTTCGCTCTGTTTCCTGAAACGAGGGCTCACAAAGGAGTCATTGTGTCTTTTATTTCGTAATAATTTCTTAAAGGCCATGTATTCACAGGCTACAGAAAGCATAGGGTTTGAAGGGCTTTTTACCCCGCACTGGCCGAGCGACGAATGAGACCGTTGACTCACCGACTCAGTCTTTGAAGTCGTACGCACTTCCGCAACTACTGAATTCGGCGAGCATGCATCTTCGTTTCCTAAAGCAGACGGACTACCATCTGAACGCCTTCTGCTACAATTTCCATCTTCTGAAATTTTCCTGAGGCTACTGACATCCCACGAAGTCTTTCGCTGATTACTGACACTGTTCTCAACCCGCTTTTTTTCATYAGAAACAAAATCTTTTTCGTTAGTACTTGATGATGCTGTTTTGGACACCGGCTCATGAATTTTTAGTGTTGTTGACGGTGGTGACATTTTTCTTTCCCGCGTTGAATTCTTTTGCTTCCTAACGCCAAGGCCGGAATTTAAATCATGACTTTCATTTGGTGTTAATTGTTGTCTTTTGTCTAATTTGCCGACCTTTTCCCTACTGTACGATTTTGGAACATTATTGTTCAGAGGAAGAGTAGTTGAATCTGATTGTGTTGAACCTGGAGTTTTGGAGGAGCTCTCATCGGCTTTTAATGAACTATCACTTTGCTCTTGTTCGGGGGTACTTGGTTCCCCAGGAATGTATCTTGGCACAAAGACTCTTCTAATTTCTCTCAATTCGTTCCAAACTTTAATCTTTTCAAAACGGTTCAACATCAAAATTCGCTTTTTGTCTTGTTCAATTCTGTAGTTGATCTCATCCAGTTTGACTTGTGTTGACTTAGCGAAACGCATGGCGTCTAAGTGGACTGCTCTACGCCTGTACATCCTGGCAGAGTCCAACAGATAGTCTTGTCAATAGACTTGTCACAGGTTGAACCATGCACTGGGCAACAATAAATACAGCCCAGCACACAGTCAGTCACGTATTATCAAGATACTGTTGTTATCTATAAGGTTTGGTACTTCGGATAATTGCCAGGTATCACTTTACGTCATTTTCTGTCTCGAGCGAAATTTTCAACGCAAGTTTTCAATAGAATTCTTTCAGGTTGACAGCACATGGTGGTCAGTGTTTGGCCACTATTTGGAGCAGATAATGAGATTGAAAGACTTTTATCAGCTGAGTGAAATCAATCAACGGTGCTAGCTATTGTACTTCCAAACTACCGCCATTTGGACAAAAGAGTACATCTTTTTGGATAGTCTCGTACAATGAACTATACGATGAATTAAGAGCTAGTCTTTTAGAACATTTTGATTCGAATTATGTGCCAGGGAGCTAGGGATATCAAGTGTTAGACTAAAGTGGTTAGTTAAACACATAAAAGCAAATGATAGCTTACAATGCCGTTGAGAGTTAATTAGACTAAGTTCATCCTTTTTAAACCAACTTTGTTAAACTTTATTATTATAGTGAATAAGAATTGAGTTTACCACAATAAAAAATCCATTCCAATGACTTCATTAATCCGTCCAGTTATGGCTCTTAAGTCTTGCTAAGACATATCTGTCCCTTGAATACATAAGCACATCATACAGTCTCATATACCCATAAACAGCAAAATTATGTGCGTTTATTTTCGCGCCGAAGACACTATAAGTTATGCCTCTAACGTAAGGAGAGGAGTGTAGCTAAGAATCAAAGGTTAATAGATTGGACGAAAAAGTATTGTCAGCTCGTTAATCCCTAGGTAATATTTGTATAATAGCAAGTAATTATCATGCAATAACTGTTTTTGATGTATACGACTTCATCATGTGATGACCAGAAATGTACGGACCCAACTTAAATCAGAGGAGTTGGACAAAAAGCTGAGAATGTGTTTCATAATAAGATATATAAATCTTCTAATGTCGATTTTTAGAGGCATTCGTAAACGACATGAAGTTGATCTAAGTCACTGCCAAATAGTACTTGGTCTACTTGCAAATCCTTAATCAACTACTGATTGTTCAATAGCGAGGGTCCATCTGTAACCTGCTGCTGATCAGTCGATTACAAGGCTTCATGACCAGCATAACCTGCTGTTGTTTAACAGAAAGGAAGGCTGCATAATCAACTGCTGATTGGTCCAGAGGAAGGCTGAATAACCTACTGCTGATTGGTCAAGAGAAGGGCTCCATAACCTGCTGCTGACTGGTCCAGAAGAAGGCTCTATAACCAACTTCTGATTGGTCTAGTGGGTTGCATAACCTGCTGCTGATTGGTCCAGAGAAGGGCTACATAGCCTATTGCTGATTGGTCGAGAGCAAGCCTCCGTAACGAGCTGCTCATTGAATCACGGAAAGGCTTCATAACCTAAATCACGGCCTGCTACTGATTGGTCCAGAAGATCTACATAATCTGTTGCTGATTAGCTAGGTCCAGAGAAGGAGGGCTGCATAACTTGCTGATGATTGGTCCAGAGGAGGGCTACAATACTATCCATATGACATGTCAAAAAACTTTTTTTATCTCTCGATTTCGGTGCATTTTCTGGGAAAAGTAGAAGTCTTTGAGATACCTCATTAACAGTGCGACACCTGTTTTTACGATTGAAAAACAAAAAAACAACAAAAACAACAAAAAAACAAAAACAACAACAACAACAACAACAACAAGCTAATCACACGAACAAACTCGGTGGAGACTTGCAGGGATATATAAGTGCCTAGTTCAAATGCATCGGTTCTCGTTAAATTAAACAAACGGCCATCGGCGGAATTCCTTATAGCTCACTGTCATTGCTTTTAATTCAACCCGGTCGAGCTGCGCCACTGCTGTACGGCTTACAGTGATATGACTAGCGATAAATTCAGTTAGTGTACTCAGACTTCTATTTTCCATTATAGGATAGGCTTAGTCTCTTTTCAACTGCGGCGTCTCTATTATCGGTGGTACTGAAAATCTTCATCATTCGCTAATCGCGTGCAAGAAGAGCGGAAAAGCAATTCAGAGAGACACCGAGTCATTTATTTCTCCCTAGTTTCCGTTTGTTTGTTTTTGTTTTTGCTTCTCGATTATCCTTTAATTCGAGCTCTTGAAATTGATCTCTTGCCATGTCTTTTTGCGGTATATCAGTCAATATTTTTCACCATTAACCAGCAACTTCGATTATACGTATTTTTATTATCAAATAAAGCCTTGCTCGTATAGAAAATATCCCATTTTGGTAGTATTTTCCGAGGAAAATGACTTTTTATATTTGCTTCCAATTACGATAATTGTCTAATCTAAATCTTCTTAAACAAAAGTAGGCTTAAAAGACTTCATCAAAAACATCCGTCACCTTGACGACTCGTTTAGAGACAAGAAAAAGGCAGAATGCTTAGAAACTTCAAATTATCCGAAGATCAGCCCAAAGATGAGATAAAAATCAAATTTGTATTTTTAGAGTTTTTGGTGTTCAATTTTAGATCCCCCTTCCCCTGATCTTAGTTCAAATAGAATGCTTTTGCTATAGTCGTAAGCTTTTACATGTTGACTTAAAAAAGCAAATAGCAAGCTAAGAGCTTGTCCAATTACCTATATTGAGAACCATAGTATATCAGGGGGAGTTTGCAGTGTACGATGATTCTTTAAAAGGTCTGGGCAAGAATTTCTGGGTGTTCAGGAGTTTTGTTTGCGAGAAGAATGCCGGAAAGACGGGTTCTCATCCTGGAAAAGGTGTCTTTCAGTGGCAAGTGGCAAGAAGTGTTTTAGGTGTTAGGTCCTCTGCCCACGCTATAGCACTGCACTAAAATACCCTAACCACATCAATCGACCGCTCAATTATCTCCATTATCTCTGGTGGAATTAGAGGTCTTTGCTTCTACCGCCAAGATTAAAAAAAAAAAAGTAAGAAACATCTGTTACTAAAACTTAATCAACTCGAAATTCTAGAGTCTTGCGTGTTGGGGATAAAGAAATGGGCTTTCCAGAGACTGAGATTTGGTCTTTTTTTATTTTATATATTGCTCCAAATTATCAATATTTATAATATTTACTTTAGCTTATGTGGATGTATACTTACATATGTATAATTTAAATTGCAATATCGAAGAATTCTTAATTATCCGGGAAGTACTTATCAAATTATTTTTCGAGTCATTTTAAATAACATATCTTGGATATGGAATAAAAGAGCTCAATATGGGCAAATGGTTATTAGACACATAAACGTTTGAAAGTTTTTAGCATCTCTTTCTAAAGTTATTTAAATAAAAACATACGAGATATTTGTACATACAATATCCAATTTTTATACATTAGTTTTAGGCTTCAGAATTTCCTCAAGCGAACCTGTTCTTAGGTGTGTTGAGTGGAGGGAGTTTAGCGTTCGGTTCGTTGTTAACGCCGTTGCTATAGATCCGTTCTGCTATTGGAAGAACGTCTTCTGTCGCAGAAATAGAGGGTAGTTTTACTTCCCTAGTACCTGCTTTCCCGTTTTCGTTGACAAATTTAGATTCACACGCTAATATATGTGAGGTTTCTCCATTCTTTGTTTCTGCCTTTGACTCCAAACTTTCATTCGAACTATTGAACGGTTTCAGTTGTTGTTTTTCGGATTTTTCTTTGAGCTTTGGTGGTTGCCCGTCGATTTGAGGCAATCCAAATGTCCAGGTAAAAAATTCTGACTCRTAAGACAAAGTCCTCTTCATGATTTTAGGAATGTTCCTTTGAGTGGGAGTTAGATGTGGCAGACTAAATTTCTTTTTCAGCTTTAGGGCTTCGAGATTTCGGTTTCTCACTCCTTGTAGATTTGTTGCCTCTTTCGCAATGTCGTCGATAGTTTTCCTCTCCTTTAGGTTATGCCTGGCCTCATTCATCAGATGAAGCTTCTCTTGTCTCAGCTTAAGTAGTTCCTTCTGCAACCGTTTGGCTTCAAGTTTATGATCAATATAAGTCTGCAGTCTGTCTTTTTCTAACTCAAGTTGCATCAGGTTCAATTGTTTTTCGTCCTCATGACAGATAACAAGTGCTTTTTGGTATACAGAATTTCTGTCCTTCTTGGTGTAGTCTCCAGATGGCATTCTATGGTTCTGTGTACGTCAGGTGCCTTGCGCGTAAACTATATCATACCTCTCTATTTGTGTATGAATATGTATAAATAGATTTGGATATTAATGGGTTTCTCTCCTCGCCGGATCTTTAGATCTTTCCATGTGTCAATAAAGAGGCAATCCAAGACATGGTTACAAATGACAGAGCAAACAGACCAAGCTAAAGTTGACTCAGTAGAAAGACAAGCAATCGTCTGGACGCCAGTAAATTTGTGCCAGAATTGTTCATGAGTTGGTTCCTTTATGCGATACGATATAATACAATATGCTTTATTCATTAATGCTTTATT